AGAAGGCCCGGTGGCGCCAGTGAACGGCAGCCACGCTTCTGTCAGTGAGCCCCAGAGCAGCTGTGGCTATAATGTAGCTTGCCACCATCAGTGTGTGCGTGAATGGGTGAATTAATGTAGTGTAAAGCGCTTTGGTCAAGTCTCCTAACTTGAATAAAGGCGCTATATAAGTACATGCCATTTACCTTCTTTATAAGTTTTAATCGTGTCATTTTTGCTTGTGTACTGATTTTTATTTTTCCAGATGAAGTTAAAATTGAGTTTATAAATACCCTTTATCATCTCTTTTGATAGAAGTCTGAAAGCAGAGTAAATCAATAAAGATAAGATTCTGCCAAAAAGAGAAATGTCTCTATGTAACCATTGATTAAGAACTGATTTACATTTTTAAATACTGTTATTGGAGGATGTCATGTCTCTTCCAATAAAAACTCCAAAGTATTTCACCTCTTTTTTAATATTAATGTTAAATAGTGATTTTCATGGACAGCTTCCAGGAAAAAAGTTCCATATTTGTCTAAATGTACCTGAAGAGCAGAAGCCTTTAAAAATAATTTGATACAATGGAGTACACACAAAAAAAAAAAGGTGGGGGGGGGAAAAAAAAAAAATTGGGGTCCGGGGGGATTTTTTATTTTTTTTTGGAAGCATGCATAGCCTAATTAATATAGTCTATTAACCTAAAGCACGATGCATGACTATTACATGTCAGGTACACCGGTCATTGACCTTGACCAAGGCACCTTACAGTAGAACTGCAGTCAGTCCCTGGACTAGCCTGGCTCTCACTGCCCCTACATAGTTAGGGACACATACAAGTAAGACAAATGCTCGTAAGCCCACTTCCCACCAAATGTTGAAAGGGCAAGATTACTGTTAATATATTGTAGATAATTTACATATTCAATAATAAAATTTCATAGGTGATGCTATGAAGGGATGGTCATTAAAAGGGGGTATGATTTTTAAGATTTTTTTTTAGAAAATGGGGATGCCATCCCCCTCATCGAGTACTGGCTAAAGGAATGTGTTCTTAATTTTTTAAAAAGAAGGGTTTTACAATCAGCCAATTGACTAATTATGTTTTGTCCAATAGCTCAATTCCACATATAAAACAGTTTTTAATTTATATTGATAGCATCTCTGCAGCCATTGTGACTAATAACGGTGAACTTCCAAAGCCCTGATGAATGCCTCTATTAATTTTAAACCTATTACATGTACTGTGACTTAATATTACAGAGCTGTTTTGACGAAGCATTTTAATTAAGGTTCCTGATTTTTTCCCCCCAAATCCAAGAGTTTTAGTTTTAAAGATAAATGGGTAATCAACAGAATCGAATGCCTTGTAAAAATCTAAAACCTGTCTAATCAGGAAAAAAACAACCTGATTGAGTTTCACCAAGTCTGGCTGCAATATAAAAAATAGTTTATAATCAATATTCAACAGTGATGGGTCTTAAATTGTCTAAAAATCCTTTTTTTTATTCCTGGTTTGGGGATGAGAACAATCAATTTTTGCTTCATAGTTGTCTCAGATCTTTCTTAATCAATGCATTCTAATCAAGCATTAAATAATAATTTTCTTATGTCGGTCCAAATGAATTGGTAAAAATTAACAGTAAGGCCATCCGATCCGGGGGATTCATCTTACACAATTGTCTTTATAGCAGTATCTATCTCTTCAATTTTAAGTTAGACATTGCAGATAGTTTTAAAGGATGAGTCAATTGAGAAATCAAAGAGGATATTTGTTAAAAAGATGATCACAATATAGTTCAAAATAATTAGCTGAATAAAGTTTAGAATAACAGGTAGAAACTTAATTCTCTAACAATTTATGATCATTACATTCTTTTCCATTTATAACACCTGAAATGTAATTATTAGTCTGTCTATTTCGGTCTTATTAAACTAAATACAAGTTATTTCTCTTGCTTCTATCCATTTTGTATGATATCTTTATTTGATTTATTCAAATAAAGCTGATCTTATTTCATTTNAACCTGATTGAGTTTCACCAAGTCTGGCTGCAATATAAAAAATAGTTTATAATCAATATTCAACAGTGATGGGTCTTAAATTGTCTAAAAATCCTTTTTTTTATTCCTGGTTTGGGGATGAGAACAATCAATTTTTGCTTCATAGTTGTCTCAGATCTTTCTTAATCAATGCATTCTAATCAAGCATTAAATAATAATTTTCTTATGTCGGTCCAAATGAATTGGTAAAAATTAACAGTAAGGCCATCCGATCCGGGGGATTCATCTTACACAATTGTCTTTATAGCAGTATCTATCTCTTCAATTTTAAGTTAGACATTGCAGATAGTTTTAAAGGCTGAGTCAATTGAGAAATCAAAGAGGATATTTGTTAAAAAGATGATCACAATATAGTTCAAAATAATTAGCTGAATAAAGTTTAGAATAACAGGTAGAAACTTAATTCTCTAACAATTTATGATCATTACATTCTTTTCCATTTATAACACCTGAAATGTAATTATTAGTCTGTCTATTTCGGTCTTATTAAACTAAATACAAGTTATTTCTCTTGCTTCTATCCATTTTGTATGATATCTTTATTTGATTTATTCAAATAAAGCTGATCTTATTTCATTTGGAATTCCATAAGCTTATTTTTTTTTTCTTCAGGACTTAAAGTAGGTTTAATGCAACTTTGATGAGTTGCTTAAATAACTTCAATTACATTAAACTTCTGTGAAATCAACCATCATCGGACATGCTCTGTGCAGTTCTCGGATTTCCATAGACATACAAATGAGTAGATCCCGCATTGACTGTCGCGGTGCAGAAATTAAGGGTGCCATCTTGGGGAGGTCGACCTGCTACCCAGAAGGATGTCTCTGACTCTTGACATCAGGGCTCGAGGGATATTCCTGTATTTATTTATGTTAGCTACGTGTGTATTTGTCCATCTGTAGGACCTCATCACCAAAAAATATCCCTCCTAAATGTGAAACTCTAATTCTGATGACAAGTAATAACTATTAAGTAGTTCTTAATTTCAGATATAAATAGTGCACCTATAGTCACACCTACTTATAGATGCTGTTATTACAGATAATGCTCTGTTTCCTAACCGTCCAAGCTGTTACCTCATTTAAAGTAACTGTTTAAAAAACAATCACTGAACTTGACGGATTTGATTAAATGTGTCTTGGATCTGCTACATTTCCAGTAGATTAAAATATCTTGTTTGTAACCAAAAGTGCTTATATCCAACCAAAGCACGTATCCCAATGCATTTATTTTATAGATCTGTGTTGTTTTTTTGTATTACAGCCTATTGATCCTCCACTGTACCAAAGTGCACTCTCTGCACCATCGTATAGGCACACTTCCTGTTAAAAATGACCATAAACCCTCTATGGTTTTATATATGATAAATCAGAACATTTCTTTTTCTAAGGGTTAAACCTGTAATTACACACATGTTCAGTGAATTATAAGAAGGTAAATACTCTATGTATCTATGGATGTACATATCTAGGTATTAACTTCTATGAAAGACATGAGGTCAGTTTGAGCTAAAATGGTCCAACTCTTATCTAAACTTACTCTGAATGATTACACAATCTGAAATACTGATGCGCAAAATTAAATTAAAACTAACAAAGCAAGAGCTACATATAAATAATTCAGCAGGGTTAGTTTCCCTCTTCAACTACAGGTCATTGAACACAGCCTCTTAGAGCTGTTGCTGTTCATGAGCACTGCTCACAATAGTATCAGTGTCTTATTTAGAAATGTTGGCACAGTACAGCATGCAGCAGACCAGCACCCTGGACTGGGTCCAGTAATATGTGTGCTTCCAAATAAACCAGCGGTGTCCAAAGGGGGACATTTCTGCCCTCAGAGGGATTGTGAATTAAATTCTGTTTGCCAGCTTATGCAATTAATGCAGGTAAACATTTTTAAATGTTAATTTGTGAAAAAAAAAAAAAGGGATTAGCTCAGAGGGGTTGTCATTTATCAGTCTTTTTTGGCACAAAATCAGATCTTGGTCCTTAGACCAATTACTGATCTTGCTGCAGAAGATACAAAACTAGAAAAATTATCAACACAGAGAAAGAAAACTAACCCTTATTTTAACCTGGATGCTCCTTAACAAAGGGAACTGACACAAATGATTAAAAACTGCAGTCAACCTGTAAGGCTAAATGACATATATCCTGAAGTGCAAAACAGACCAACAGCATGATACAGCCAACCTCATACTTCAACTAGATTTCTTTTCTCAGGACTGCAAGGTCACAATTAGACACTGTTATCTTAAACTAATACATTAGTGTTGCATTGCATCTTGCTAACAAAGATAATGCTTTTTCAAATATAAATTTGGCTTTTAGTAGCTTTTACAATAATGGCTTCCTCTCTGAGTGGCCTTTCAGGAAATATATATTTTTTTGTTGTTTTTAATCTTGGACTTGTATTCACATTTAACATCAGTTAAACTTCTTGCATCTGGTCCAAATTCCTTTCTCATATCCTGATGGATCTCTTTTGAACTTACCGTAGAGTCACACACAAAAAAAAAAAACAGATGGAGATGTTACCTTAAAAACACATCCTTAGCTTCGCCTCCTGTCAGTGTGAATTAGTTATATGAAACCTTGTCTTTATCATCTGTTTTCTAAAATAGTTTTAAGGCATAAAAATAGTATCGGTAACCCTGACCTAAAACTGGAAGGGTTTAGTTAGATTTAATAGCATAAGAAAAAAAAGAAAGAAATGAGGGTTTGGTCTTTTATATGATGTAAGTAAACATCTAGTTTGAGATGTTGTATATCTCCCTCAGTGGCTCTCTATGTTCAACAAAATACCAAGAATCAAGCACCACAGCAGCTGCTCTAAGCATCATGTCATGTATTTCATGTTAATACTAAAAACCATTACAGCTCTTTGACATTCGGTCCAAAAACACATCCTCCACTACATGTCACACAAAGGAACATCTTCCTCATTAACCAGACACACTAGCAAACATCATTCAGCGCTCACAGAGAAAAATTAGTATTTATTTCTATCAGCCTCGACGGGAGCTGCTCTCTTCGCCGGGACTGTCCACGTCTGAGCGAAGTGGCGTTCCTTGAATGAAGGACGTGACTCAGAGACTTCAGAGAAGCTGTGGCATGGCATCGTGGTCAGGCTTGTGTTCTTCTCTTTCTTTCTTTCTTTTCTATGGGGAGAAAGTGGCTTGTGCTGCTTCCGTTTCACTTTGCAAAACTGAAAGCAATGACTTCCTATCTGGTGATGTTTTGTGCGACAGATAAAACTGGTGAGGTCCTTGTTCTGAACGTGTTTTGTTCCACATCAGTACGGTACACGCAGAACGTCAACAGAGGTCCACTGAGCAGGTATTATGGTGTGAAAAATGGGTTATCAAAATCAAGGCACCAGCTAGCAATTGTGAACATTAGGAGAAAAGGGAAAAGTGTGACTAGAACTGCAATGTTTTACTTTTACTTGCCCAAATGATAAAAACCACACCATGAGGCAGCAGAAGATGCAGCCTGTAGTCAAACTGTACTCAACAACAGTAACCACAGTATATTAAAAATGATAGAAAAGGTGCTTGGCAACCAATTGTCCAGTTATTTCTCCCTACAAACAGGACAAAACAAAACTTTTGACACATTTCAGGCGCCTTAATCAGTTTCTGTTGTAACATTCTCTCAGCCATTCAAACATATAGGTCATTCCTGCAGCCGTTCTTCTCCTCCGTGTCCATCCGAGGGATCTTGGCAGCTCAGATGTCGTCGTCAATGTAGGGTATGTCAGGGTCAGAAAAGCGTCTGTGACCCTTGGGGGCTGCTATATTTTTTTGCTGGAGCGTAGCCGTGGCGATGGAGGATGAAGAGGAGGAAGCGGAGGGAGGACAGGAGGAGAAATGCAGCAACAAGCCACACTCTGGGTTATCGAGGTACAAAGACTGGATGCTGTCTTTACGACGGCCAGGCTGCTCCCGTTTATGGATGAGATGCGTAAGCGCCCGATTTCCAGGAAGGGGGAAGGTCTGTGAAGAACCGGTGGCTGGTTGCTGGGGGAGGACACCTGGAGGCAGCTTCACGGTGTCTGGGATGACAGGGTTGCGGCGCTGCAGGGGATGCCTGAAGGAGGAGTTAGAGGTTTGAGACGCCGTGGAGGCGCAGCTGGACAGAGAGGAGCTGGAGCTGGCAGGGGTGAGGTTAGCCAGAGGTGGTCGTCCACTGGCGATTCTAGGTCGCTGGGCCAGATCTGAAGGTTTTGCAGGAAAAACTGGCCTGTGTCTTCTCAGCTGGACGCCACACTGTCCTGGAATAGAGAGAAGGATGAGAAATTATCCAGAAGTTAGGAGATCACATGACTGATTAGACGTTTCCCACAATGGATTCAGGAAGGTGAATAAAAATAAAAGGAAGATCATGCAACCATGTTATGTAAGATGAAATACAGTCATTTGAAAAAAAAAAAACAGGACATGCTGTGACAGACTGTGCAGCTTGACATACTTGGAGAGGAATACATTTAATTACTAAGAAATTCATAGCATATAAATAAACAACAAACCCTGAAAGGCAACAAGAACAAAAAGTGAAAAAAAAAAATTAAAATTTTTGGTGAGATTTAGTGGACACCAAAACAGTGGACAGATTTAGTGCAAATCAAACAGCATTCAAGGTAAAATATATCAGGTTAACTGTGAAACATGGAGGTGGAAGGGTCATGGTTTGAGTACAGTGTGTTGCCCATGATGTATCCCAATGTGCTTGAGGAAAAAGAAAATAAATAGAACATGAACACATTGTACTGTCTGATAATTAAAGAGATGGAAAGTCCTGGGCGGAGTCAGAGCCCAGATCTTGCAGTAACGTGGCTTCAAACGGGTAGAACATGCAAGAAACCCTCGTATGTCTCACAGCTGAAAGTGATGAATGGGGAACAACTTCCTCTGACAACTTCAGAAACGGTAGATGGCAACAGGAAGCTTCATGGGAGATATTCCAGCCAAACCCGCTGTCTATTAGGGAGTTCTTCTTCTGTTTGAAAATCATTCATGTTCCAAATTGCTACTTCACGTTTTTCCGTAAAAGTTTAAAAAACAATCCACTGGACTTGGTTTCCAAGGTTTGAAGACGTTTCACTTCCGCTCCAGGAGCGAACATGACAGGAAGCTTCCTGGAGGGGAAATCGAAACGTCTTCAATCCTTGGAAACCAAGTCCAGCGGATTGCTTTTTAAAACTTTTACGGAATGACTAGTACCTGGATGACTGAGAATCTTCATCAGCATACTTCATGTTTAAACGGTTGTTCCGTTATCTTTAGGTAATGAGATGCCTGGATTAAAAACTAAATATCTAATGGGAATCCACATTTTTCACATGACTGTATATCCAGGAAATAACATTTCCAAGTATTTTCTTTGATATCGTGCCCAAATGTGTGGACGGCGTCTGGACGACGTTTGAGCATGCATCTGTGCCATGCGTGAATTTACATGCAAACAAACACACAAACACGGTTGCTGTTCCTCCAACCTGCTTTGTTTACAGAGCAGACATCAGCGCCCCGTCACCATCACTGGTCCAGACCTGCACCACAAAAGACAGGAAGGGCCAAACCCAGCGGCCCCGGGGTCTGGTCAGAAACCCACAGGCGTGTGAGAGGAACAGGTAGAAGGCAGGAAACGCCACACTGTACCTTAATACTGACCTTCTGGCTCAGAGCCGTGGGCAGACAAGCGCTGCTGCTGTTCATCCAGAAGACTCTCAGAGCTCAGGGAAGCTTCGGAGTCCAGGTTCTCCTGGTCTGAACCGGGCTGCTCCATCTCTGGCAGCCGACAAGCCAGTTCGTCTCTGAGAATCAACAGAGGAATGGTTACAAACGACCAGTTGATGTAACCGTTGACAAAATGGGTGAGCAAACATCCTTACTTTTCTTGTTTGATGGATTTGATGCGATCCAAAAGATTATTCTCTGTCTCAGTATCCGAGTCCAGCGGCTCGTTCTCAGGGACGGCGCTGAGATCAGAACTGGCCTTCTCTCGCATCTGCACAAGACACAGCAGCCAGACCCATAACCTACCAGCTCAGCCAGTATGTTAAACCAGTTATTACAGAATGGAGCCAAAATGGTAAGTGAGGTCAAAAGAAAAGCCAAGTGATGTCACCTGTGGACTTCATGCATTTACACACACAGTCTTACAGCACGTTTGTGAGTAACGGTGAAAAAAATGATCTCCAGTGCCAAACGTTTTGATACTGCTTGAAGCTTTTCCCATGATATCAGGTAACAACAACCCCTAAATGTAATGGGATCTTACTGGGATTCAATGTAACAGATCAACAAAGAGTTGGACGGCTTTTTTTTAATTAAAGAGAAAGACTGCTTCTTCTAATACCATAAAATACCTTAAATGCCTACCACTGCAGTTACAGCTGCAAGCCTTTCAGAGTACACACCTCCATGCTCTTGGGTTATTGTCCTGCTAAGAGGTGGTACTTCCTCCTAGTTTCTCTGCAGCCTCTAACAGGTTCTGCAGTTTAAGCTCAGTTAATTTTTTCATCAAATCTCATCAGCACCAGAGCATCTTTTTCCACATGCTGAGTTTTCTACACGGCTTGTTACAAAATGCAAAAAGCTGTTGATCTGAATAGCTTCTTCAGACTGACTGAATCTCAGCTGCTCCCCAGTTCAGGAGGCCAAGTCCCAGAAGGTTTGCAATAGTGCCAACATATTCTCCGCCTCTATTGCTGTGTTTCACTGTCTTTGTGATCCTGTTTGGCAACTATTTATCTCCAACAAACCTCGGAGGCCTTTGCAAGATAGCAAGATTTCTACTGAGAACACAAACTAGATGGGAGTTAGCAGGTCAGCTAGGAAGAAGTTCAAGCAGTAATCAACACGAGGCTCCGTATTCACATAAGAAAACTGTTGTATTAAAACCATATAGCCTTTAAAGTCCCAATTCTGGTAGATCCCTGTTTAACAAAGGGAGATTAAAGAATCCCATGGTACCCTAAAAACAATAAATCCCTTAACATCACCAGAAGGACAAATAAGAAACCAAGAAGAACATGCAAACAACTCCCAGTTAGTATGAACCAATGAACTGCATTAAGGCAAAACAGCAGAGAAACCATTAAAAAAAAATTACAAATAAAAGGAAAGAACAAAAGACTAAGCACCTGTATCTAACATGCCATGCATAGGTGCTTAAACATGGCGCACTGCTCCACACTACATCTACGTACTCTAGACCTAGGATGATACATACCACCACTCCTTTGTAAGGAGCTGGGAACCTGAGAGGTAAATGCCGGCAGGGCTACAGAGAGACAAGGAACATTAACCATGTTACCCATGTAAAACCTGACAGAGGTCATGTGCAGTGGGATTAACTGATGGAATAATGAATATGGTTCATGAATATCAGTGAGTTCCGTAAAACAGATGCATGTTCTCCGCTTTTGGTGAAAAGTGATCCTATACTCATGGAATAAAGGGATCTGACCCCAAGACCTGCTGTTATAGATCATTTTGATACTCATGGAGCTTTAAATGGAACGTTCAGAGGGCGAAGCCTCATGTTTTTAAAAGTCAAGAACTAAATTTGACTTAATGCTGATATCTTAATACATTCAATGCTTTTTCAGCAGGAGCTTTAAGCTGGAACCACTGAGGATGATATGTAATTACATGAGTAGGTCGTTAGATTTCAAGCGGTCACATCTATGAAGAAAAATTAAACCCACAGTCAGTATCTTTTAAGTTTACTGGGTCAGACTCGGGCTGTTCACAGAGCTTTCAGTTACTCTTAGACCTACCAGTCTACAAACTCATTGTGCATCTTGTGGGAATCATAAAGCCTCTAAACATAAACATTTTCTTTAAATAAGGCATCAACCTGCAGATTGAAGACTGGAACTCACTTCAGATTGAACTACAGCAGGCTCTTGTGGGCCAGCTGTATTTTACCTAATCTGATGGCATTGTGTTTTATTTTATTTTGGATCTTAATGATGAAATATGCATGTATGAAACTAAAAGCCTAAGAAATGAGGGATACATATGAGTTTTGACAAAATGTAGCAGACTGCAAGATGTGGGATTAAAGCCTGCATTAAAAGCAGCAGTGCTGATCAGAGAGATGGAGATATATATATTTCTTTCTAATCTTCACTCACTGTGTTCTTTCGCTTTAGTTTAAGTTGATTAACAGCCAGAGCCTCGGCGTACTCCAGCTGCTCTATCTCCTCCATCTTCTCATTGTAGCGCCGGATCTGCTCAATGATGAGCATCTCCACACACCTACATGCAAACCAGGAGCAGAGAGTGAGCTCAGATCAGACAGAAAAAAATTAATTATGAGTACATTTATTCTATTTCTGATTTACGTCGTGGTCTTTGCAACGTCCTTCATGCTGAGCAGCGGGTCAGCTGTGTTGGGACACCGCAGGATACACGGAGCAAACACAATGGCTAACGAGTTGGGGGACATGCGATTGTGAGCCTCTTCCTTAGAGACCCTGCAGGAAAACCATCAGAGAAAAGTCTAATTTCTCCACTGTTAGGACCAATAACATTTAAAGCTTTAAATTTACAACTTAACTACCTTTTTTTTTAAATATGTGTACCTACTTCTTTGCATGTGCAACTTGAAACACACCAGGAGGAGAATATCTACCTGACAAGATGGAAAATGAGCCGCTCTAATGTGTTGAAGTTTGCTGTGGGGAGCTCCTCCAGAACTTTGTAAATGGCTTGGAGCTGCTCCTGCTTCTCTGGCAGTTCTAATACGGTGAAAGTTCAGAGGTATGGAAGATCAATATTAAATCAAATGCTGTGAAAACATATCTAAATCTGTTTAGTACAGTTTTGAGTTGGCCTTGACTCGTGTTCCACTCACCCACTGCATGCAGGAAGTCATTGTAATGAGTGAAGGTCATGAGTGGGTCAGGCAGCTCCCTTAACCACTGCTTCACCAGGCCTGTCACTGTATGGATGGGATGCTCCTCAAGGTTTACCAGGTGAGGCTCTGAAGAGCAGCAACACAAAGTTTAGGACTTCCTTTCATGTCTAATTGAAGAACCCGACTAAGAGAGGATCTAACCTGTGTCTAGCCGCTGGTGCAGCTCTTTCATGCGGTTGGCGGAGCCTGATTTGCGGTAGATTCCCTCTGTGTAGAGGCCGTGCATCTCAACATGCTCCAGCATCATCTCCAGCACCATTGGCACAGGGTTCTTATCGCTCACCAGGTGGCAAACACGCACCCCGAAGTGGCGCCCGCTGACCTCCTCATCGTTCTGAGCATCCGTAAGCGCAATAATTTCCATCTTTATTCAACTACACACCAGCATTGCTTTACAAAACACATTTATTAGCAATGAGTGAACTCCAACATACCTTTCTGGCACAGAAACTGGAGCAGCTGATGTTTATTTTAGCAAGGCACTTCTTGTGGCATATCATTTTACAATCTGTAAAAATAGGTGGTTTATTAAACCGATTCACTTTGATACAGGGTAAAGATCAAACATGGCCGTCTTTGGGTTTTTACTCACTGCTGCACATGTAGGCTTTCTCCATGCCCCAGATGTAAGAGCTGCACGTGTCGCATGACTGCACGATGCTGACCTGATAGTTAACGAAACCATGGTCCAGCAGGATCTCCATCTAAAGAAAAAACAACAACAAAAAATAAATAAAAGAGGGAATACTTAAAAACTAACATACCTACAGCAGGAGAGGGGAAAAAAAGAAAGAAAAATACAATTTGCATGCTTACGCTTTTATCTTTCTTCCTCCTTTTCTTTCTGGTTTTGGTGGGCTGGAAGAGAGTCGCAGCTGTTAGAACAATGTTTTGGTTCCAGATTCAGATCAATCATTGTCCTGAATTAGTCTCACCTTGACGGGCTCGGCTTCCTCCTTCTTCACCTCACCTCTGATAAACCCATCCAGCACCGACTGGAACAGGTTGACCACTAACTGAACGTCCTCCTGCTGTTTGTCTGTGGCCAGGACAGTCACTTTGTTCTTGAAGCCGGACATTAGTGCTTTGTAGCCGATGGTAGGGTTCTGTGGGGCACCAGTAGAGGTTAGGGGGACTGTTTAACAATGATGAACATTCTTATTAAGTACATTTCGAATCTCCTTACCGGGACAGAATACATGGATTTTATATGCTCTCTAAACTGCATGGTGGCAGTGATAAAGATAGACTCTGTAGGTGACAGAGACTTGCCTCTGGAGCGGAAATCATTCACCTTAGAAAGGAGAAAAAGAGAAAAAAAGTACACTCCATAAAAGTTCTTGTTTTTGTAAATGTAATAAAACAAATCCGGTAAAGAGTCAACATTTCTCAGTTTTCCACTCACCTGGTTGCCCAGAAACTCGTCGAGGTGCCGCAGCTCATTGGCATTTGTTATCACTCTGTCCAGAGACGCGTCCCACTGCTCCGACACTCGGGTAGCACGGCTGATCTTAATCGTAGGGTTCCTGCGCACTGACAGGCCGGGAGGAGGCGCTGTAGGGATGAAAGGTTTGTTTTTATTAAACCCAAAGATGTATCAAATCTGTCTGCCTGGGCTGAGACCAAACGGATCAATAAACATCTTTTAAAGGGAATCAGCTCTCTTAAATGTGGGGAATTGTTGACATGTTATATTCTACCTTCACCAGCTGTAGACTTGTCGATAAGACTCTGAGCAAACGTCAGGTCTCCATTGTCTGGAGTCTGGGCCTCTTTGGTCCTTTTCTTTAAAATCTTGCTGAAAAAGCCAACTGACCTGTGGAGCAGGAAAAACGTAAAAAACCATAACCTCCAGAGTAAAAAGAAAAGATTCACAAACAGGTCTATCTAGATAGAAATGGTTGACAGGATCATATCTCAAACCCAGAAAACGTCAGGAATGTTTAATCTTTGGCTTTTCCTGTTACACACTGGATTTAGATGTTTACCTGTCTGGTGTGGTTGCATTGGTTTGCATGGAGTCTGGCTGTCCAGCACCCTCTTGCTGTCTCTTTCTGAATGAGCTTGACCTTGAGCTGTCACCATGACCTTCAACTGACGGAGTTATCTGCAGGTTAATGAAAACAATGTAGACTTTAAAAACAAATCATGGTGACGTGTCAAAAACAAAGCCCACATATTCCTCAGTAAAACTAAACGAGCCACATACACATACTTTGGTTTGAAAAGTGCTTGAGAAATTACAGAATAAAAAGTGGGAAATTGATTTTTGAATCAATTTGACTGTATGATCTGGTTGAACTGTAATGTGCCTTGAGATGACTTATGTTGTGAATTGGCGCTATATAAATAAACTGATTTGAATTGAATTTTCCAGCTTTTTTGGATTCTAGATTTAGAAATAAATTCATCTCTATTTGCAAAGCTCAATTTTGGAATATCTGTACTGAGTTATTCTGCGTATAACGGATTCTTTATATCAGAGTACATCAAAATTGGTAAGGACACTGCAGGTATGCTTCACCGGTCGCCATAATAAGTGCTATCTGAATAGTGCTTGCAGGAAGAAGCTTGGACCAGAAAGCTTCCTATTGCCAATTCAGTTAGCATATATTGTCCCAATATAGCTTATTTAATTCTGATATGATAGCGATATCGCAGCTTTGAGAATTGACTGATACCATTATGATCCAATACAATACAGGCAAAAATCAGGTATTAGAAAAGGCTTCAAGTGGTATTACAGAGAGCATGGTGCTTGTATTTCAGTGTATTTCAGGGTAGCAGGTCGATACGTTCAAATTTGTCCCAGCTATGCTATGCCGGTGTGTAGCCATGTCACTGCGGCAGCAGGTCTGATTATTTGCATATTAAGGGGAGGTCATCTACCCCAAGAAAAATACATAACTTCTTCATATCTACTGTGTGACACATGTAAATGTACAAATCTTTATGTTTTGGGTTTTTATAATGTAGAGCCTTCCTTACTGCTGGCCCCACAAAGGTGAAGGATAGGATGTGATTCATTTATTTTGTTTGGACAAATTAGGAATTTGCTACCATAAACCTGAAAGGGGGGGAAATGGGAAGCAGGTTGTGAAAAGGATAAATGATAACGACACCATCTAAACAGAAATCAGTCGAGGAAACCTTTTATTTCACGTTTCCTTTTCTGTCTTTATATTTCTTGTTCGATCATCTTGTAAAGGTGTGATGAAAATAGAATTCTGGGCAGGTTACAGTACCTCTCTGAGCGCCCAGGGGTCTCTGACAGAAATCGCCCAGGCTCCTTCAGAACTTGGAGACAAACTGTCGACGGATGATTGGGACGTTTCCCTCCTGCAGGGAGAGAATGCATACATATGAATGAAAGGCAAAGCAGAGCAGGTTTAACAGATTAACGGGTTAGGATAGTAATAGAAGGTTGTAACAGCAGACTCACAGCGAGGGTTTCTTTACATTCTCCTTTTGGCTGTGAGGTGGAGACCTCGTGCACTCAGAGCTCTCCCCATTGCTCCTCCAGTCCTTCCATTTCTCTGGCTTCTCCTTCATTGCTCCAGAGCGGCGCTGCAGATTCACAGCCCCGATGGCTTCCCCTGAGCCGTTATCCTGCGCAGAGTCCACGGGCTGCAGAGGTAAGCTGGATGGACGAACCGGACCTGCAGAGGGAGGAGAGGATTTTCCCTCCTTCTTTCCTCCTTTCTCCTCCCTCGTCTTCCACTCCACAAAGGTGTACTGGTCCAGCTCCTTGCTGTCCGAACGCTCCTTTAGCTTGGATGTCTCCTGGTTTTGGCTCTTTGGGGGGGATGTTTGATCTTGGTTGGTGGCTGATGATAAAGAAGAGGCAAGGCGTTGAGATTCTCTCTGACTGTGCTCCAGGCCTCTTCGTCTCCTCTGCTCTCTCTTCTCCAGGCTCCTGGATGAAGGGACCTTGGTAACGGGGCCAGCATGTCGCCTCTTCAGTCCAGCATGTGGAGACGTAGAGGTGTTTTTGGACTTTTCGTCCTCCTGAGGTGGAGATATGGCTGTAAGTGTGTTTGGTGTGACCTCATCTGAGGGCAGACCAGGTTCCTCCTCCTCCTTATCTAGCTGGGGTCCAGCCTCAGCCTCTGTACCACTAGGCTTCATATCCTCTTCTTCATCATACACCTCTTCGTCTTTCCCCTGCTCCTCCTCTGGGGCACTTTCATCCAGCATCTCCTCAGTGACCAGCTCAATATCTGGGTCCTCACGTGTCTGAGGCTCTCCTGCCTGTCTTTGCTCCTCTTCCTCCATTTGTTCCAGGGCTTTTCTTGCTGCCTCCTCCTCTGCCTTTCTCTGCACCTCTTCTTCTATCCTCAGTCTGTCTTCTTCTGCTTTTCTCATAGCCTCCTCCTCTTCCCTCTTCTGCCTCTCTTCTTCTGCTCTTTTCCTAGCCTCCTCTTCCTGCTCTTTCTTTTTCTTCTCCTCACGGATGGATTGACACCTGAAATAAGCAGAAATGCTAATTAAAAAAAGTCTCACCATAAATTTGTCTTGAGAAGAAAAAAACAAAAGAGATCTCAACAACAAAGATTAAAGAGTGGTACAGAAGAAAGGAAGGAAGGAAGTACAGCTGGAAGGAAAGAAAAAAAGGATTCTTGGAAGTAAGTAAGGAAAAATACAAGGAGAACAAGAAAAAAGAAAGTAATGTCTATGTAGAATGTGAGGAGGGTAGGAAAAATGGAATATGTGGAGAAAGAAAGGAGAGATAAATAATGAAAAAGAATGAAAGAAAGGAGAGATAAATAATGAAAAAGAATGAAAGAAAGGAGAGATAAATAATGAAGGGACAGATAGAGAAAGCAGTGAAATGAGGAATGAAGGGACAGATAGAGAAAGCAGTGAAATGAGGAAGGAAGGAAGGAAGGAAGGAAGGAAGGAAGGAAGGAAGGAAGGAAGGAAGGAAGGAAAAAAAGTGTAAAACTAGATTTGTTTCAGTACCTAACCACAGCTGGAAAACACTCAAATAAAATGGGGTACTCCCCAACCCTTTTGGCAGACTGTAGGACATGTGAACATCGTGACTTTTGCTGAGTGGTTTTACCTCCTGCGTGCCGAGTGTCCTCTGACCAGAGCTTGTATTTTTGTTGCTCCCTGCCTTTGTCGGTGGAACTCGGATCTTTGTTGGTGCCCTCTCCACACCGCTTGGATCACAGTAGCTGCGCGTCGCCGTTGCTCCTCTCTGCAGTACCTACGCCATGAAACCTAGCATACCAGGACAAGAGACTTCTTATTTAACCATAAAAAAAAAACAAAAAAAAACAAACAAGCAAAACATTGTAAGAGCTGATAGGCTGAGAAAACAGTGCATCTGGTTTACCTGGATCACGACGGCTGCTCTTTTCATTTCTATAAACTCCTGCCTCTGCAGGCGAGCTCGGAACCAGCGCTGAAGGAAGATGATCTTCTGCATCACTTCTTTGTGCAGCGTGTCCTGGAGCTGCTGTCGCTCCAGCTCCTTCAGGAATACCTTCAGACAAGACAAAAAGCAAAATGAAAATGATTGGGTTACAAAGTGTAAGACAATCTTCAAGCCTTAACATTTAGGAAAAGAAATTAGAATGGACATATAAAATAATATATAAATGGTCAGAATATTTTATATGAACAATCACAAATTGGTTTGGATAAAACACACTCATAAAACATAAACATAACAGATCTAGGTTTAATTCAGGAAAATCACTTTAAAAGCGCAGGCCTCCGCCTAGTCGCTCGTTTCATCCAACATATTGTGATTTCTCCCCCAAATTCATACCTGTATTCATGGAATGTTTCAAATAGACCTGGATCCTGATGGTGATTCCAGATCATCACCAAAATGTGATCATTTGTTACCAGTCATAATGCGCACCTTCTTCGAAAATTTTAGCAAAATCCATCCATAACTTTATCAGTTACTTTGAAAACAGGCAGACAGACAAACCACCGGGATGAAAAAATGACCTGCTTGGCAAAGGTAATAACTACTGACAGCTCCCTGGTGGGTTATGTTTTTATTTAAATTCATTAAAGCCAAAAGTCTAAATTTCAAAGACTTTATGTTTAAAAGTGTTCAACTGAGCAGGAAACCCTCAAAGTAGCAGAGCTTATCAGGAAATATGAACCGTTACAAATGATTATTATGGCTGTGCAGCTCGACATTAGCTAGAAGAAATCATGCTCTTGAAATCAGAGCTGGTAAAGACCTCAGTCAACCAAATACATGCTCTGAAATTGCAAAAATACTAAAATAATCACTACTGTTCCCTTTAAATGAAACGCGTTTGCTACCTTGGTCTTGCCGATCTGGTAAGTTGTCGGGTCGAGACCCATTTTCTTCCCCAGCAGCTCTGTGATGTCTTCTTTGGAGGCAGAGGAGTTCTTCGGTAGCAGAACCCTATACTGTCCAACGAACTCCTGAAAGAACCAGACGAGAGGGTGAGAGGTATGAGATGAGTAAGAGAAGATCCTAATGCTAACTATTTCAGAACACATTAGTTTTTTTTCGCACAGCATTAGGATACCTTGAATATTTTTACAACTATGCCAGCCTAACATTTAGGGTAAATTTTTGTATTGAAGAAGAGGAATATATCTGCTTTACCTGGAAGGTATACTTGGCCGGGTACCCTGACCTCCTAATACGAACAGTTTCCAGCATTCCTGTGTAATGCAGCTGCTGAAGCACCAACGCCTCATCCAGATGCATCTCCTTCTGCTCGTGTGCACAAATGTTGACATCACAAGCATTGGTTGGAGGTAGCTCAGCCCTTCAGGAACTAATTCTTACTTGTTTGTGGCCTACCTTCTCTGCATTGGAGCGGATGCAGCGGATGAAGAAAGGCTCGGCCTTGTTCAGAGTTTGTAAGAGTTTGTTCAGGGAGTTCTGAAGAAAAAAAAAAAAAGACAAGAAGTTTGCTGTAGTGTTAGCAAGACACAGGTATGCATGGCACCCGCCGCAGAAGCTCAGATTACCTGGAACTGGGCACTGATGCTGGGCGGCTTCTTCTTCTTATGCAGGTGGAGCAGGGACTTTGTGGTTCGGTCATGCAGCGTTAGACTCACAATAAACTTTAGAGAGCGCGAATCCAACAAACTCTACAGAATGGGAAAGCATATGATAAGCATTCTGATCGCCAAAGCACTAACTCTAACTTTTAAAACTTTTGGCTTTACCTTGGGGATGGCCTGCTTCTGCTTGACATTCTTGTTTTTCCTGACAACAGAGGAGATGCAGAGTGAGTAAAAAAAGGTTGAGACTTTAAGAAGGAACAGGCAAGCAGATGGTGGTTAGTAAGGCCGGGTGACTTCTTCATGCATTCAGTGAGAGCTGAAATGAAGGCTTAGACCTAGATTGGATGAATGACAGAGATGTTTGACAGCGACAGTGAAATAACGTCGAAGAGGATGAAGAAGCTTGCTGCAAGAGATGGAATATGACTTATCAGCCCACACAGACAGACATGCTCTCCTGGTTTCATTATATACACTCATCTAAATTTACAGGGTTTTTCACACTCTCTGAGCTTCTTGATATATTCTCACGTTTGTTAGGAATAATATATGACAGACCAACACACCAGGGGGCCTCATGAGGAGGACAGAGAAGGAAAGATTGGTCTGAAACATTTTTATAAATAGATAGCTAAAATGTTTGCCATGTATTTGCATTCATTTCCCTTTCATCTGATAAACTACCAACTACGTAGCTTTTCCTCAAAAAATCTGTAGCTGAAGGAATCTGAGAGGGATACATGGTGGATAGAACTTAAGCAGTTCAGTCAAACAGTTTTTGAAAGGGAAGCAAAAACAAAGACAACAGCAATCCCATTTAAGCTTTGCAATAACCTGTGTAGGCGACAAGATGAATAACATCCTCAATTGGGGAAGTCAATTGGGATTGTTGGGAAGACGACTTGAACTAAACTGAACTTAGTTTTAAATGCATCTTATTTTAACGCTGAAATATAAGCACCATTAGCAGGAAACTAGAAGTTGACCTGGCAAGAAGCAATATCTTAATTCATGTGTGTTGGACAGAGACACATCTATAAGGTGAAGGACATCTGCCCTCGAGGACTAGAGTTTGACAATCCTGTTTTAATCCAAAGGATTTTCTTTTTATTAGAACAACCTAGTCAAAGTCCAGACATCAGAGATACACTGAATCCAAACCGACTATGATGGTTAAAAAAAACCCCCAAACAAAACAAAAAAAAATCAATAATAGTTTCAAATGCCCTCCTGTTCCGGTCTAACTCTCAGACTCTAATAAAAGCTAAATCTCTGATAAAGAGGCAGGATTGGGTTTCAGGACACCCTTCATGCTGGAGCTGCTGATATCAGAATGGGAGCATGTTCTGTCTGAGCCGACTGAGACCAGAATGATCTGGAGAAGAGCCAATGCCAGCTCTGTCTGCAGACTCACTGAAGGACGTGACGTGGGAAGCGGAGGCGACCCCAGGATTGCAACAGCTTGCGAGGGTCCTCTCCGTCCAGCTGCAAGTTCTTTATGGAGCTGATGATCTCTGAATGCATTTCTCTGATTGCACACCAGAGATACACATAAGAAAAAAAAGCAGAAAAGAGGGAGAAGACAGAAGAGTAACGGGGAGGGGAAAGATGGAGAGAGACAAAATAAAAGGAAGGGACAGTCGGAACACCTCTGTTAGGACACCTCCAATTGAAAAAATACCAAAATGGTCACCCAAGACAAAAACAAAATAAAAACAACCAAAAAACAAAACACACGGTGAGAACCACAGCTGAGGGTCAGGATCACAGAGAAACACACAGGTTTCACATACTGCTCATGTGTGAAGCAAAATATGTTTCTCCTGTCGATCATGAAACCACAAGACACACCAGACCACCCAACCATGCTGTCACATCCTTTATAAGAACAGAGACCCACACACAAACAGAAATAGAAATGGAGGTATTTAGAGGATGTATTCACACATAAGTACAAATATACACGGACAAACATATCTGTAGGCACTCCTGCTAAAAATGTGCAAAAAGTTTTAAAATAGCTCGTCCTTTGTTGCACAATCTCATCTTGAAATCCAACCTTTAAATTAAGCACATTTACTCAGTGAACAAAACAATCTGATGTAACAGGCCTTTTAAAATAAAGACACCTGAGGGATTATCTGAACTTCAATCTGAGGAACGCTCTATAACTTTTTTGTTTCTTAGGGGTAAAGAAAAAAAGAAGCAGAAATAAAATGTTCACAAACCTAGAATAAGATGCTCACAAAAATGGTTTACAAGAGACAATTTAACGGTCTTCTGTGGAGAAAAGGATAACCAGGAGTCAGGAGGATCTAGAGAGGTTGTGTAAAGAGGAGTGACCCTTCTATGAATATCCCCATCTCGTTATAAAAGACATTTAATAAAAAGAAAAAAAGTTGATCAGTATACTGGCTGCAAGGAGAGCTACATCTGCTCATTTACCCCATTTATGCATAAATGTACTCAAATTAAATGTTGGATCAAGCTAGTACACTAGGTGATTAAACCACTTTAAGGCCTTTTTGCACATTAAGCATCTCTGTCACTGTGGTTGTTAACATGCAGAGCTGAGCTGGTGATGATTGGACTTGTTTGCTTGTCTGTTTGTTTCCATGCTGCTGCTGGGTTGTTGTTACAGGTGAGGTAGCACTCCTTTAACTGGGGCTGGTGAGGTTAATACAGAGACTTTTCCTTTGCCCCAAAGACAGTCCATGCAGTGCCTCTCTTAATCTGACCATGAAAACAGAGGTCAGGCAGGGAAGGAAGGAAACAGTCCTTCGTGTTTAATTCTTCCTAAATTTAATAGATCTGCGTCAAGTGAGCAAAACTGCTCAAAAATAGAGTTTGTGGTTTGATTTTCCTCTGAGGAAGCTCTCACGGTTGAGTTTGTGTATTTGTCTGGTACTCTGGATGGCTTTAAAGAACTGTGTGTGTTTAAGGCCTCACATCTAATGGACCTAATCTAAGTGGATACTCGGTGAAAGCCTGCACAAACACTTTACTGTGCCCTGTGCCAGAGTACTAAAGGATCAATTGATAGATTGGAGAAGGAAGAGACGTACATTAAAAGGAAGAGTGAAAATAAGAGGAATATTGTTTTTCAAATTCTGTTATACAATAGAAGTGAACTTCCTTAATCTGTAGAGTTTCATATTTGATGAAAAAGATGTTGAAATAAATAACCCTGCAATGTCTTCTAAAACCGAAGTAGGCTTGAGAAGATTGAGTGAGAGCAAAACCAGAAGGCAAAACAAACCCAAACAAACTTATTCCTTCCTGCTTGGCCTCCTGTCTTCATTATTTTTCTGCTTTCCATAAAATTCACTTACTTCTTATTCTCATAGCTAGCAAAGATGTCTTCAAAGGCCTCTAGAGGGCGCTCCTCTGAGTGATCAAAGTAGAAATCGAGCATAGAAGCTCGTCTGTGGAGGGAAGAGGAAGAGGAGAGAACCGCACACACCGGGGTCACCAAGAGGTGGGGGGAATGGGTGACTGAGATGAGGTGAAGCAAGATTCGAAGAACTTTTCCAAATATCCATCATCTCACTCAGCACAACGGGTTTTAGGTGGAAGCCCATCAAACAACACGGTAAACATTTCCATGTAGCGTGAGAAGGGAATATTGTGCTGATTTTACATGAAACAAAAGGTATCAACCACAAAGGGGGTAAAACCACCATGTTAGTGGGTCCCACAAAATACACATACCCAGAAAAAACCAAAAACACAGTCAACAGCTTTTAAACAATCAATGCACATTACTTACTTGTACATCCTTTCAATGGAGGTATTTGAACGCTGAAGTTCTCCTAAAGGAGTTCTGGATGCTGGACGGATAACACCTATAGAAGCCGATCAAATACCAGGAAATAATAATTAAAAATCAGAAATGGGTGTCACTGGAGAATTGTTTTCTGCTGTCCATCTCCTTCAGTTTAACACATCTATTTCTCTTCTTACATCAATGAACTACTTATATATGATTGAACATAAGCAGAGGATTTAGAAACGAAGACAATCCCAGACGTTTGTGGCCACCATCATGTTTCCCGCTGCCCCTAGAGATAATTACAGAGCACAACATCTGCTGGAGCTGCAGCGTGAACACAGCTGCATGACGTTACCTTTCCATCTTTCTACACATGAAAAAAAAAGATATCTTTAAAGTGATAGTTTTAAGAAGGGTGGATGAGGTGAGGTTCTGTCTTATTGGAGTTAGTTTGTAGAAAAGTGATGAAAGTTAAAGAGTAGTGGCGGACCAACAGCTCAGGAGGACTCACATTATTTTGAGGAATGGGGAAGAAGTTACCTCTGTCCCCCCAAAGCTAGTTACCTTCTTTGACTGAAATGATATAACTTATTCTCTTACAAGTCCCTAAGCCCTTCTACAGTAAATGAATTGTTGGGTCATTGGTGGGAGGCGGGACAAATTCTGCTTCAGCAAAGCATCCCAAAACAATGACAGTAGCATAGGTACTTTTCCTGGTGTATTAGTTTATGCAGAACTAAATCAAACTTTAATAGGTCTTGGTCTTTGTGTGTCATTCAATATGCGTTTTATTTTTTTCCCTACAGAGCAAAAGTTTTCTTCTTGCACACTTTAAGTTTGTAAATTCTCTGATTGTAAAGGCACACATTTTCATATATCGACAGTGTCAGGAAAATGCTGTGCTCCTGGAGATATTCCCATTATTTTTGCCTTCTGCAGTAAGAACTTGGGACACTGCAAAAACTATCTGAAAATAAGTGTATTCAGCTTAATTCAAGAAAAAATGCTGTTATTTCAAGAAAAAAATTTCCTACTTAGATTGAATTCTTTTGCAGTGGATTTTTAATTTTTAAGGTCCTGATGTGATTACGACGCATGTAATTTAAATAATTATGGGCTGGAGTGTCTTAATCTATTACTGACTAGAACTAGCATTTTTATACCATTTTTACTAAATGAATTGAGAAAAGTCTTTCTTCAGTATTTATTTTTTTAATCAATAATACTTGGCTATTTCAGTAAATGATAATAAATATCCAAATGTGTTGGGTTCCTGTGGTTGGGAGGCTTAATTTACACTTTTCTAACTCCTTTCCACAGTTTTGTAACATTATCAAATACCTTAATTCTATACTTTTCCAAGACATAATCTTTTTGAAATTATCCTGGTAAACTCACAATCATAAAAAACAAACAAACAGATCTATCCCTTTTAATAATACCTGCTGTCTTTGCAGCCCATGACCTTCCCGCCTCGTTGAAAGCAGCGAGGCCTCTGATGGTGGCTCTCAGGATGCCCCACCGAAACATGGCCACCGGGTCCATGCCAATGAGCTGCCGCACGAAAGCTCTGTCGCTGCTTCGCAACAACGCCACGATGTCTGGACGCATGTGGTCTGTGTTTTTCTCCCGGAAGTCCTGAAGAAGTCACAGATATGAGGACCGTAGCAAAAAGAAAATCTTACATTTAAACAAATTGTCTAACCATCATACCTTGATGTGATATTTGACTCTCCCTGCAAAGTGCTGAATGACGAATGCGGGCTCCATGACTGGCGTGGGTATGAAGTACTTGTTTCCATGGTGCTGCTGCTTGAATTTGGCCAACAGGGTCTTATCTGTTGCATGTGGAAAGCTGTAGGGAGCAGGGAGGAGAGAAGAGGCAGGGAAAGGAGGATTTAACCACTGGATGGCATCTTCAGCTTTGGTGACATATATGTGGTGCAGCTGTTCTTACTTGCTCTCCTCATCTAGCAGGTACAGCAGGCCGGTGGGTTTCTTGCTGATGAGATGGATGCAGCCTACATTGTCTGTGTAGTCAATGTTGTGCCAGGTGATTCCCTCTGACTGGTACTCCTCCTGCATGAGTCCATTTCAATCCACAAGTTTGTGTCATTTTTAATTGTGACCTAAAAATACTAACTAAGCACACATTTTATTAGATTTTCTGTTTTTTGTTGTATGTGTCTATTGAGCTCAATTTCACTTATTGATAATATATGATATAAGAATACCTCAATAATATGAAAACCTGCTTCATTGCAATTGATGCATAAAATAGATAAAATTGGAAGGTTTTGATGAGTCAGTTTATCAAATGAAAAGTTAAAATCTCAATGAATTGCCTGTTTTTCAGACAATGGTTGTTAAAAAAAATTTAACTACTCACCTGCTCCAGATTAAAAATGTGATTGTTAAAGTAATACTGCAGCTGCTCGTTTGCATAGTTGATGCAGAACTGTTCAAAGCTGTTGGTTTCAAAGTCCTCAAAGCCAAAAATGTCCAGGACACCAATGGACAAGATCTGGCAGACAAAATTCAGGTATGGATTAGTCACACGCAGCTGGACGTTAAACTGATTTTACTGAAATTATTGTGTGTGGAGGTTTCTTACGGGGACAGATTCCTCCATGTCCTTCTTGTTGAGCAGAGCGTGGTTGATGCGCAGCACGATCCAGTCGAACAATGCACCGTACAGAGACTTGGCCATGGAGTCCCTAGCTGTGATTGCCTGAAAGGAGAAACCGTAGCTTCAGGGTTTTTGAGTTGAGAGGTTGGCATTAGGTGTCTCGGTGGGTGAGAGGAGGATGCAGACAGTTAGTAGAAACGTTTTTTGGGGATTGAAGTCTACCTCGGAGTGGCTGTAGGGGAGGATCAACTTGTCGTTGACGGTCACCGTTTTCCTCTTTGTCAGCGCCTCGACCAGCAGTTCCTCTTTGACCTGAAGCAAAGACACGCTTTGTTTAAAGGTGAAATCTCCAACAGAGATCATAAACCCGATCATATAAATATAAGGCTGAAGATACCTTTATCAACCCCCCCATTTTTTTTTATATACACACCACATGCAGTAAGTATATTGTATCTAGCTGACAAGTGTAACTGAACAAAAAGCAATGGATGTCCCAATACATAGTGTATAGTTTGTCAAAATATAATGAAATATAATTGTTTTACCGCAGAACTTAACAACATAAACTCAAAGTGTTTGGTCTGAGTTTTCTGTTATTTTGATAACTTTAAGCAGCTCTTTCAATAAGTTTATGAATCATAGCTATAAATGGATGTGTGTGCTACGTTATTCCAGATTTCAATTCGTTTTTCCTTGTTTTCAACCAACTCAAGCAGTCTAAATATGAACAGGGTTCTTTTTGTCACACATAAAACACATTCGTGTGTAAATGTGCTCATGCTTAAAGGTATAGTGGAGGATGCTCCATTTCTGTGTGGATTATCAAAATAAGTGGTCCTCCTAATTGTCAATCATTCTGGTGATAAATGTAACTTTTGAACAGAGCGTGCACAAGGAGAAAAAATTGGGTGGTGCATGCTCTCGCCCATATTTAATTCCTCTCGGGAGCGGGTTGAGGTGTGCCTTTGTTTTTAAGTCGAGAGGGCGGGACTTTTCAAAAATTCTCCACTATACTTTTAAATGTGCTAGAGCCTTAGGTGACAAAATGAGACTAAAACCCCCCAGGTTACCTTCAGCAAGTCAGAGAGGGTAGCCAGGACTTCAGGTGGGCCGACATCCAACCCTTCATCCCGACCCGATGACTTCCTTCTGTACGTGACATTGCCAAGATACAGGATGGCCGAAAGCACGGAAAAGATCCTGAAACACAATTGTAATATAGAATGAAAACTGCTAGTCATATGACAGATGTTGCTGCAGTGCTTCAATCTACTCATCTGATTGAAGTCAGTGAATGGAGGCATTGTGTGGGATTATAACAACACACTGCCCCCATTTAACTGCTGCTTTTGGCTGTCCACTTGTAGCAGATGACGTCCTTCACAAGAAGGTTTTTCAGATTGCTGATCATGTGACCCATTTAAAAAAAGAGGAGAAAGGAAATTCTACACTCCAAAGGAAAGAGTAAAAAAATCAAGGAACCCTCTTACAAAAATGAATATTTTTTTGATAAATTTAGATGTTGGTACTAATTTTTGACATGAAGAGAGATTCAGCTCTTTGCAAAAATTATAAATACAATGAATCAATAAGAATTTAAATCAAGTATTTTTTCTGGATGGATGATAGAAAGAATTATGCGTGGATAGATAACTGAGTGCATAAATTTAGGAAAAACATAGATGGAGGGAAAACAGAAGTGGAAAAATTGACAGAAAGGAGGATTCTTCTTGAGGACAAATGGATTGGGAACAATCTGGGAATAAAACATTTACCATGCTCTCTTTTTTCCCCCCACTCTACTCCAGACCAAAGAATAACTCAAACCTAACCCCAAACCATTCCAGACCGTAGGAGCCCTACACACTTCAATGCTCCACTCACTGTTTCTTTGTGGCCGGAAGGAAGCCAACCATCTGCATCGCCTGCTGCAGCCTCTCAAAATCATGACGCAGATCTTCCTCATCTTCTATCTTAAAATTTTCCTGCAAAGAAATAAAACAAAACCAGTTGGTTAGGAGGAACAAAAAAAAAATAGTGACATCACAAAACCTCAAATGGCAAACCTGGTAAATAAAAGGACCCGTGAACAAAGGGCTGAGGAAACAGGGGAAACACTAAAGAGGCCTTATTAACATGCAAAGCACATGTGTGGAGCGAGCTCGGAGGGTACACAGCAGCTTATTCACACGCTTGGCAGCTTTCATCAGAAACAGATCCAATCTAAGTCCATTTTGGAATACTAATTGCAAATTTCGTCAGTGTGTAGCTAATTTAAAGCAAATGTTACTGGCTTAAACATGTGAAAAATACAGCGGGGTATTAAGGCCAGGCTAGAGGTTTTATTTTATAATAAGAAAATAAAGTCATAATATTATGAGAATAGTCATAATATTATGAGAATAAAGTCGCAACATTATCACAATAAAGTCATAATATTAGTAGAAGTCGCAACATTATTAGAATAAAGTCATAATATTATGAGAATAAAGTCGAAACATTAGATGAATGAAGTTATAATATTATGAGAATAAAGTTGCAACATTATCACAATAAAGTCATAATATTAGTAGAACTCACAACATTATTAGAATAAAGTCATAATACTATGAGAATAAATTTACAAATTATCAGAATAAAGTAACATGACGAGAATAAAGTCGCAACATTAAAAGAATAAAGTTGCAAATTTACGAGAATAAAGTCCTAATATTACGAAATCAAAATTGGATTTCATGATACAAGAAACACTATCTTCCCTAAGACGAGGAAATTTCACTCAACTTGTTAAGTTATACATTGGCATGGGTTTCACAAATACGGAAATATTAAATCTTTTAACACATCAGCATCAAATTATTATCAGTGTTTCTATGACAAAGTGGACTCAGGTTGCTGTTTGGTGGTGCTGGTTGGCCATCATGTGCTGGCTGGAGCTTGAAGCTTTCTTTCTGAAAAAGGTTGTGGTATGAAGACTTCATTCTCATAATTTTTTTTAACTTAATTTTTGTAATATTACAACTTTACTCTCCTAATGTCGCAACTTTATTCTCCCAATGTCGCAACTTTATTCTAAAAATATTATGACTTTATCTTCATAATAGTATGACTTTATCTTAATTTGTTTTTTAAATGTTATAAAAAAAATAAACTATCTCTAACCTGGCCCTAATACTGTTGTAGGAAAACTGTTAAAGTATGTTTACAACATTTTGTACCTGCTTGAGGTAGAAGTACTCTTCAGGGGGCAGTAATTTAAACTCCCGTCTCTCCTCCTCTGAAGCACCTAGTAGCAGGTAGTAAAACACATGGTAGTTCCTGGAAAAACAGAACAAAAGCAAAAAAACCACCTTTACCAATTCTATATTTTGAAAGCCTCAACTGGCATAAGAAAAGATTAATGTAAAACAAGCTACACAAATGTGGCAGGAAAACATTATGATGATGAATAAATAATTGCTGAGATTTTCAATTCTGCCGTTATCATGTGATTAGTAGAAGCTTCATGTTTATGACTGCACACAGAGATGGTTATGGCAATAAACCAAAATCCAAACAAATCATAAACTGAAGGCAATACCAGCGTCTTGATAAAATTCATATCAGTTTTCCACGCATGCAATCAACCAAGAGGTAAACAGGTGACATGAGCTTTGTTGTAAAAGCAAACGGTATTAATGAATTTCCATGATTATAATAAAAAAAAAAAGCATTCACATCATACAGTAGTCTCTACCTCTCTGACTAGACAGCTAGGAGGAGATTAGCTGTACGGTGAGCAGACTGTGAGTAGGCACAGGGTTACGCAGGGTGACCTGTCAGAGGAGGGTGAACAGATTTTCCAAAACTAGCTGGAGAAAATCTAGACAGGAAGCCTATAAATGAGTAATACCTGCCTACTCAAAAGAAAGTACTGTTATTTTCTATGAGGCATCCTCCAGCTAAGCTGAAAAAAATTGGTTTAAAGCATAAGTCAAACCATTAGAATAAGGCGGGGACGTTAAGTCACAGGAAATAATAAAAGCTTGTAAAGTCTTACTATATCAATAAAATAGTCTAAAAATCTGGATTTTTTTTTCCCATTTCAGGTGTTTTTTCTACTAAGATTTAATTAAAAAATCTCAATTACACACTCAAATTGTTGTTGTCTTAGCAGCAAAGCGTAACACAAATGAAAAAATAGAGATAAAGGTAAAAATATTTTATATTCTCTAAAAAAAAAATGTAATTGAAGACTTTTGCTGAAGACTTTACAAGATCCTGTAAAGTAAGCAGCTGTTAAAAATCTAAAATATCATAAACTAAAATGTCAAAATGAGAACGCATATTTATTTATATAATAAAATCTTATACATTCCTATAAATAGTACTTTTTAACAGTTTAATTGGGCCTTATTAAGTACATTTCCAATAATCACTGATAGAAACGACAATTGTCTTCAGATGTGTTATGTGGCTATTTCACAATTTTCTTATGTAAAATATTTCAGCTAATAAATTGTGGATTTTTAAATAACAACCAGAGTGGCCTAGATCAAATGCATATCTTTTATCCCACAGTTTAGGAATATTGTGGCTTTTTTTTTTTTTTTTTTTTTTTTTTT